GCTGCTTCCACTTCTCCCGTTCTCCTGCGACGTCACCGACGCTCCAACGACCGGAGTCGCACCTGTCCCCGCGCCGAAGCCGGAGGTCACGGAAGAGCCTAAATAGCTCGCCCTGATCCCCGCTCCGGGCCGCAGCGGAAGCCTGACCCCCAATGTCTCGCCAGTGCGCGTTCTCCAACTGCCGCAGGGTCCGGCGACGTTCCCGCCGCGCCAGCCGCCGCGCCGCTACAGCGGCGACCTTGGTATCCTCAGTGGCCGTCTTCCAAGCTGTCTCGGCCGTAGACACAGCCTCGTCGAGTCGGCGCTTGGTGTCCTCGTGACCCCGAAGCCACGGGATCTGGTGCCTTTTCACCCGCATGCCCAATACATTCAGCGCGACTTCCTTCACGATCCTGCAGACATCCCGCCACACGGGCGGCGCAGCACAGCCCAAAATGCGCTCAGTGATTTGCTTCTCGAAGTCGCTCCTGGACTGCTTGGCAGTAGCAGAAGACCCCGTCATGGCACCATAATTGGGAACTGTCTCACGAGCCTCCTCGACTGGGGCCACGCGCGCCCACTGCACGTCAAGCCGCCCACATACCTCGACAGGCTCATGGTCCGTATATGGTGCCCACGGTACCACCCCGTCCTCCCTCGCCCCTCCTCCATCCACCCTCCTCTTTCCTTTTCGTCGACTCATTCGTCCACGCTCGTCCTGCTGCCCACGGGGCCCAAAATGGAGGGTGCGGCACGACGTAAAGAACTTCCGGCCCCTTGGCCGGACGAGCACGTGATCAAGCTGATGGGCGGTGCGGTACCGCAGGTGCCACCACGTGGCCGGCTGCGATTGCTCATACATACTACTGAGGATACATAAAGGGACTGAGTGGCAAGCGGCCACAAGCTCGCGCCCGGTGTCCGTGCGGCGCGGAGACGCATGAAGACCCAACACCTCCCGCTCCTCGTCCCCCTGAGGCCGGCCGACTTCCGCATTGAAGTCGCCACCGACTATAACCAGCTGATCAGCGCCCCGGACACGGGACTCGACGAAGCGCAGCTCTTCATGAAAACGGCCCCTGGCAGCGACAGCAGCAGGCCTCGCCCCCGACACCGGGGCGTAGCACGCCAGCAGAGAGATGCCTCTGCGCCGCCCTTTCCGGGGAATCACAACACCCATCACTCGAATACCCGCTCTTCCTTCCCTTCCCCGAACAACGACCTGCGACCCCGACTCCCTCCAAGCCTCAGACACCTTGTTACCTAAAGCCACACAAACCTTCCCCCTAATGATGAAAGTCCACTTCCTCCCCCCTTCCTCATACTCCCTTACCCCATTACATGTAAACTTCACATCAGAAAACAAGGCAAAGTCCCATTTCCTCCCGTTGAGCAGGGAGAGGAAAACACCAACCTTGATAGCCGGGCTCTCGTTGCCCCGCTCCGCCCCCAACTTCCTTGTATTCCAAGTGCCACCCCTGAAGAACCATGCCGTGGGAGCCCTGTGAGCCCTCCGGCGACGGCCCTCCCGCCGAAGCACGGCAAGTTTATGCATGGCACAGCACCGCTTGGCACGAGAAGCCTTCTTCTTCTTGATCCGCTTCTTGGCCCGGATCCTAAGAGCACGTTCCTGACACCGCGTTGTACCTGAAGGAAACGTAGGGCCTTCAACCAACACCATCGCCTCAGCACCGACCACATTCGGCACAGACACCGACGCGCGTTGGCCAAACGAGTCGCCGGTCTGCCCCCCAGGACCCGCGACTGACACTGCGACTGACACCGCAGCCCCAGCCGCAGCCCCAGCCGGAGCCGAAGCCCCCACGGAGGAAAGAGCCGGAGCCCCAACCGCCTCCATGGCGTGATGGCCCCGGGGAGGGCGTGCACTCCCGCCCCCAAGCATTCTAGACGGCCCAGGGGATGGCCGACCCGAGCACAGCCAAGAGAACCCAGCGACAGCGACAAACGACCATGCCCCTCCCGAAGCTCCAGAGGGGGCACCCCGAAAGGGGTTTGGGTTAGCCTCATCCATTGCCCCCACCCCCAAACACGAGTTAAGAAGCACAAGAAGGAGGACACACAAGGATAGAGGTGGGGAGGATGAGTTTGCCGACGAGCGGCCACGAGGAGGCCTGTGCACCTGCTCGTCGAAGCCTGGCCGCGTCTCCACATTGGCGACCATGGGCTACCTCACCCCGATGACCTTCGGCACACTGCCCGGGCACTCGTCGCCGCCCGCAGGTCTGGAATTCGCGGACCTCCAAACGGGCTCGGCGCCAGCTCCGCGGCCCCCGCGGCAGGCCGGGTGCAAATCGAGGCCCGCGGTGCACTCTGCGCGAGCTGACCGGGGACCTCGACGCCATCTCTCAGGTGAGGGCGTTCGGCGAAGCCGGGGAATGCAGAAGAGAAAAGCGGCTGACATCGCCAACGGTTGTCTGGCCACGATGGCGATCATCGGAAGACCCATCCATGGCGACTGGACTTGCTCCGCGCGGGCCGATTGGGCGCTCTGCAAGTGCCCTCCGCCGCGAGTGGTCTGGGCACAGATGGTGGCATATGGTGCGTTCCGCGAGCTGCCCCAGGACCAGGCGGCTGGCCCCTCCGCCACGGCGGGCGACTTCGCCCGCTGCGCGCCGACGTCCAGGGTCGCCGACGAGAAGCAGAAGAAGTTGGCGACTGAGATTGCAGCCAGTCGCATGGTCACGATGGCGATCATCGGCATGCCCTTCCTGCACGGCTTGGCCGGCTCCGCGCGGGGCGACAGGGTCAGGCACTCGGGCCCCCCGCGGCGCGTGCTCGAGAGTGAGCTGGGCGTGCTGGACTCGGCGCGTTGGGACCCCGCTGGTATCACTGAGGGTGGAGGCAAGGAGAACTCCGCCCGTCGGCACCAGACCGAGCTGAAACACGACCGCACGGCTATGCTGGCGACGATGGCCTATATCACCTCAGACACTACCGACAAGCTGCCAGGGTACCTGTCGCCGCCCGCCGACTGCAAGTTCGTGCGCACGCCGAACAACCTCGGCACCACCTCCAAGGATTCCACCGCGGACTGGACGCACATCGCGGCGCATTCCGCAGTCGGCGCGCTGCCCCAAGACCAGTGCTCGGGCTACGTAGCCACGACGGGCGCCTTCGGCTTCCAGGTGATAACGCCCAGCATCGCTGACGAGAAACAGAAGGAGCTGGCGGCCCAGATCGCCACCGTTCGTCGGCCCGCGATTGCGATCATCGGCACGTTCATCCATGACGGTTTGACCGCGCGGCGCCCGCACCAACGTCCCGCGCTCTTCCTGGCCTCCTGCGCCGCGGAGCGGAGCGACGCGCCATCCGCTCCCAGGGCGCGGCGCGGCGCCGGGGCCGCCGCCATCCGCCGCGGCCGGCGACGTCGGCTGCAGCGCGCCGACGTCCAGCAACGCCGATGAGAAGCAGAAGAAGTCGGCGACCGAGATTGGCGACAGTCGCATGACCACGATGGCGGAAATCGGCACGGCCCTTTAAGACCTCTCGGCTGGCTCTGCGCGGGGCGACAGGGCGCGGCACTCGGGCTCCCCGCGGCGCGCGCCCGAGAGCGAGCGCGATGGAGCTGGCCCGTTGGGGCGCCGCCGCCACCACTGCATCCGGGGGCGCGGAGAACTCCGCCCGTCGGCACCACACCTAGCTGAAGCACGGCCGCTGGCCCAGCCTAGGCTTAGCCTCTGCAACCTGAGACGAGGTCCTCGCCGGTCGCGATGCGCTCGTAAATGCAGCAAATAAATGGGTCGCGGGAGGGCCCCGCCAAACGCCATTCAAAGCCGCGCCCCCATCGTCAGACGTGCCCGCCCGAACGCGCAGGTGAGCACGAAAAAAAAAAACGGACCGCGCCCGATCTTCTCTCGCCAGCGAGGGTTTGGTCTGCGAGACATGTGGCAACCCAATAAAGCAAGCCATGCGGCGCGTGGTTTGCGGTGCAAGGCATGCGGTCCAATCCACGCTAAGTCTGTCGTTAGCCTGGGCGGTGGCTTGGGCCGGCCGCGGCAGCGCGTGCTCTTGCCGAGCGAACCTCCACGTGCATCCCTCCGCCGGGACCTGCCCCCCTCCTCCAACCCCTCCTTCGCCCGAACTTCCCTCGCCAGTGAGGGTTCAGAGGCCTGCGAGACATGAGGCCACCCAATTAAAGCAAGCTCTGTGGTGCGTCGTTTGCGGTGAAAATTATGCCGATCAATCCAGGTTAAGTCTCTCGTTGGCCTGGGCGGTGGCTTGGGCCGACAGCGGGCGCGCGTGCCCCTGCCCCTCGCATGGGAGGGGTGTAACGTGAGCGGTTTGGGGGGGAAAGTGATGGCTTCTCTGCCTCCCCCTGGCCCCTGGGGCTGCCACCCAGGATAGCTTTTCATCGATTTCTGAAGGTCGATTTTTGAATCTTCGACTCTATAGGTTCAATGTTTTTGTTTTCCTGGAGGGTTGTTTGGTTTACTCTGACGCTCTCGACGTCATGACTTTTTGCTTCCTGTCCAGAAACTCGGTTAACCAAACCTTGGCCTGAATCAATTGCTTTCGTCCCTGACCTCAAGATAACTAAAGTACAGCGCCGACAAATCAGAACACGAATCTTCTGTGTCGTTTTTTTTCACTCTCTAACTCTGCTTCGCTAGGAAGACGATTCTAATCCTGAGCGACGTGCCGTCGAGTCGCTGCTGCGGCAGACCCGCAAGCCACTGCGCGACTCGGAAGAGAAGGCACTAAAAAGCAAGTACCAGAAACAAAAAGGAGGAGCGGTAGGGGTGGAAGGAGGAAGTAAAAATGCGACCCTGGGAAAACGGTCACCGCACTGTCTCAGGCGTCTCCGATTTGATTTGGCTGTAGCAATTCCGATGTACCTACTAGAGAGAGAGAGAGGGATGCGTCTGCGTGGCGCTGCTGGCCAGAAACGTGTGACGCGTGTGCTCGTGGCTCCGCCTCCCTTCCTCCCTCCATCATACCCCCCCCCTCCCTCCCTCAACCTTGAGTTGCCACCTGGGAGCCATACTGCCCACTCTGCCCACTTAGTGGGCTGCAAAGCCAGAGGCGCCCTTAAGCGCCCTGCCCTTCTTCTTGATGTCCATCTCGTCGCTGTCCACCGCCCTGCGGTGGCACGGGATGCCAAACACATCTTTGCCGTCGCCCGCGACGTCCTTCAGGCACGGCCTGGTGTAGTCGAAGATGGCGGCCGCGCCATTCACGGTGATCTCGATCGGCATCGGCTCGTAGTGAACTTCGGGCGTGTCGTGAGGCTCGTACTTGACTCCCGTAGCCGACTTCCGCCCCTGCTTTTTCGGCGGCTCCTGTACATCTGCGCCCTTGTCCTTGTCCGGGGACTGCACGTACGTGATGAGCCACGCTGGGCAGAAGTCGCTGCGCTTAACCTTCTGAAACTGAGCCCCGCCGAGCCAGAGGTCTGGCCCGTCTCCGCTTGCAAGCTTCAGCTGCATGACGGAGTGCCTCGGCAAGTGCTGGGCCACGCTGCCGTCCACGACCTCCCCCCAGTACGGGAGCCTGCACTCTGTGGCGTTGGGAACGTTCTTGCGAATGATATCCACTGAGGTCTTCTTCGTGCCCTTCGCTGTCTCCTCCTCCTTGATGTCGAGTGCCAGGTTGCAGCCTGCAGGGCAAGGGCCCTCGGTCAACATCACCTGCGCCATCTTCTCCGACACCGCGGCATTGATCACCTTCTTCATGAGCTCCGAGTTCCATTGGGTCACAGCGGACTCTCGCTCTTGGACCTCAGTGAACCACTCTCGCAGCAAGGGCGGCCCCACGGCCTTCTTGTCAGACTCGTCGCTCTCGCCGCCATAGGTGGCCTTCTTATCCTTCTTCTTCTCCGACCTGGGCTCCTTCTCCTTCAACGCTGGCTTGGTCTGCAGCGCAACTCGGTTCAATATCATCATGCGTGTCGGAGCCGATTGGACCGCTTCGGAGGCTAACTCCGCGGCGTGCTCCGCGTCCATCGCTTCAATGATATGTTTCACCATATTGTTCTTCTCGTTCGTGAAGACGTCCACCTGTGCAGATACCTTGAGTTCCTTCTTGGTGGTATTCCTGACGAAGTGCTTCATCTGCGCTGCCGTCGCTCCCTGCAGAACACACAGGTCACGGGCCTCCTTCACTTTGTAGGCGAGCCCATCGGCCGCGACTGCCACGTCATAGCAACAAAAGGACTCCTCAATCCACGCCGCGGCCCACGTCTCCCAGTGCACGGGCTTGCTGGCGCCCGCCCCAGGCTTACCCCGCAAGTCGAAGTACTCTATGAACTCCTTCGTGCTATTGTTCAGCTTCTCGGGCGTCTTGAAGTCGAAAGGCTGGGACACGCTCGACTGAATCTCGCCCATCGCCTCCAGCAGTGATTGATGCACGAGCTGTGGTAAGAACTTGGCTTGCTTCTGTTGGTCGCCACCCTCGCGCACAGTGCACCACTGCAAACCGAGGACGCTGCACATGTGCATCCACAACTGCACCCTCAGCAGGTCGAGGTAGACGGAGCCGTTGGACAAGTTGTTGTTGTCCAGCTTGAGCAGGCTGCTCCAGCCGATGAGCGCGAGGTCGCCTAGCTTGTCCTGCGCCTTTGCCTTGACGATGAAGTCTACGACGATGTCCCACTCAGCTGGGATCACCACGCGCACCTCCTCAGTGGCAGCCTGGGCAATAGCGAGCGCCGCCTCCTTCAAGGACACGAAGACCGTCTGCTTCTGCACAATCTCAGCAACCCTGCCCATCGCGTTGCTCAAAGCCCTCGCAGCGCACATGCGACCCATGATGGGAAGCCTGCTGTTGTTCTCGACGAAGTGGTCCTTCATCGCTGCAATCTGCGAGATGTACTCCTCTGCCTTCTCGTCCGCGGTAGCCCTTGTGATCGTCTCGTCCTCGATAGCCGCCGTCGCCAAGGCAGCCTGCTATTCCTCAGTCCCAGGCTGTTCGCCATCAGGGATATCTGGATCAGACGCCCTCGGCGCCAAGTTCGCGTTCTTGTACAGCGCGGCTTTGGCCATCTTGCGAAGAGCCGAGAACCCGTTCAGCTTGGACTTGCCCCTCCCCTTCATAACCTCCACAGAGTCCATCGGGCAGCCTCGGATAGCAAGGTCTTTGAAGGACGCGATGTCGTCGTGCCTCGTCGAGTCGATCTTCATCATGTACTCGGTGGTCTCGTGAAGGTGGTGCAGGAACCCCACGTCGTTCTCTTCGTCGATGACGAGGTCTGCTCTCGGGGCTTTCATTTTGATCATCTCGGCTTTCTTCTGGCTCTTCTTTTTCTCCCTCAGATCCTTCTTGGTACCCGTTCTGACTGCACCACTGACTGCGCCCCCTGAGCAGCCTGCAGGAGCATATCGCTGCGCTTCGCCTTGTCCGCCTTGAGCTGCTCCCATACAGCCGACTCCTTTTTTGGGGGGAGGCAACAATATACATCACCACCACCTCCCTCCCCACCTCCCTTTCACTGGAACGAGGAGAGAGGAGGAATCGACGTGGTGGTGGTGCATCTTCTTTGGGCCCCCCCATCCTTCATTGACTCCATCAGACTGTCGATCGCATCCTCCTTGAAAACGCCGAGGGGCGCCAGTCCTTCGGAATGCAGGAAACCCCTGCCGATGTTGCCTGCTGCAGGGGTCACGGGGAGGTACTGCATGATGACGTCCACGATGAACTGAGGGTGGTTGTAGCGCAACCTGCGAAGTGCAGACGCAAGGACGATGAAGGTCCGCTCATGCTTCGACGTCATAGGGTGCGTGAACGCAGTCTCGGCATGGGCGCGGCCCTTGAACTCCGCCCACACAGTGGTAGTACCGTCGATGACCACCTTCTTGCTCTCCCTGTAGGACGTGTTGCACAGCTCGTAGTTGCGATACGTCCCCAAATACTTCGACATGGTCTTGATGAACTCGAACTTGCACTCCTCGAGCTTCGCCTGTCCACCCAAAGCTGGAGCAGACCAAGCGTTCGCGCTCTTCTTATTCGTCCATGCCTTCTCAATGCCAACCGTGTTCTCCAATATCTCCACAAACGTCTTCGGCGTCTGCTGATCGTTGACGATGTTGCCAACGTCGATGAGAAACCTGATGGCGTCCTTCGGCACGCGCAGGTTGAACTCCTTGCACGCCCTCACACCGTTCGTGACGGAAAGCTGTACTGTGCGATTAATATTCTGGACGTCCTTGGCGAATGCTCGCCTTGCCCCCTCAAGCAAGGTGCCCCAGTGGAACAGCAAGTACTGCGTTCCTGGACGAACTTCGCGCCTCATGTGCTCTGGGCACTTCATGTACCGTGGCCCCTTGCGAATGTCTACGATGCCGATCTTAGTGACGCTCTCCTCCCGTTGCGAGACGCTGTCCTCGTCGCCACGTCCCTCTGCGTTAAGGGGGCGGCGGTCGGTAGTCCATAAGCCCGTCTCGTCCACGAGCGAGAGGCGGCAGTCAGCGTTCTCGCAGTAGAGCTGCTCGCAGACGCCGAGGAGCTCCAGGGGCGACCTCGTCCCTCCGCAGCGATCCGCAAAGTCTGCGTACTTGCCCCTGTCGTCATATTTGTCGCCCTCGATCTCGGCGACGGTGCGCTCGGCCACGCGCACGGCCGCAACAGCGGCGGCAGGGGCATGCTGGCTCCCGCCAGCGGAAGAAGAGGCGCCCAGGCTCGACATTGCGAAAGCAACTCAAGGTGATATCTCTCTCTCTCTCTCTCGCTCTTGGTCTAGTGGTGGGTGGTGAACACGTGCAATGAGCACGAACTAAACCTTGAGCACAAATAGCAATAGCTACGGGCGTAAGGCGTTTCACGTAGGGCAACCCGTGGGGAGGGGGGCAGCGCCGCCGATTTCAAACCGGCGTTTCCTACAGCCTCGGGCCGGCCTCGGGCCCCGCGGATTGCCACGGGATAGCCATTCGGGCTCTAGGATTGCCACGGGGTAGCCATCGGAGCCTCAGGACTGCCACGGGGTAGCCATTTGGGCCTCAGGATTGCCACGGGATGGTTATCTGCCCCCCCCCTCCCCCTGGATTGCCACGGGGTAGCCATCTGGGGCCTGGGATTGCCACGGGATGGCCACCTGGCCTCCTGGATTGCCACGGGGTAGCCATCTAAGGCCTGGGATTGCCACGGGATAGCCATCTGCCCCTCTCCCCCCCCCCCCCGGATTGCCACGGGGTAGCCATCTGGGCTCGGGATTGCCACGGGGTAGCCATCTGCCCCCCTGGATTGCCACGGGGTAGCCATCTGGAGCTTGGGATTGCCACGGGATAGCCATATGCCCCCCCCCCACCCCCTTGGATTGCCACGGGGTAGCCATCTGGGCCTCAGGATTGCCACGGGATAGCCATATGGGGCCTCTGGATTGCCATGGGGTAGCCATCTGGGCCTAGGATTGCCACGGGGTGGCCATCTGGGGCCACTTCATCTGGGTCTCAGGACTGCCACGGGGTAGCCATCTGGGGCTCAGGCTTGCCACGGGATGGCCATCTGGGGCCTCAGGATTGCCACGGGGTGGCCATCTGGGGCCTCAGGATTGCCACGGGATAGCCAGCTGGGCCTCAGGATGGCCACGGGATAGCCATATGGGCCTCAGGATGGCCACGGGATAGCCATTTGGGCTCCTGGATGGCCACGGGGTGGCCATCGGGAGATCAGGCTTGCCACGGGGTAGCCATCTGGACCAGACGCTTGCTATGAGATAGCCAACTGAACTCATCGTGAGTGCTATCTGCCGACGTTCACCGCGCCAGAAAAGTTGATGCGAACGACGATGATGAGACGATGGCGATGATGATGATGATGATGATGATGATGATGCAACTTCAGTCTCAAGCGCTTGGTCAAGCGCTCGTTAGTCTGGCGAAAACCGCCAGGCAATCTCGATCCCGAGAAACAAATCAACAACTGATCAACCACCAGCTTTGATACACACGCCACATACGAACCCGTCGTCCGTGAAATTGAATACGTTGCCGATTGCCAGTGCACAATCAGTATGCCAATATTTCAAGCACCGCTTGCAGCTGACATCATCGGCACTCTTGTCCTTACATGGAGAGGCGACCCCACGTTCATCAGCAAGCTTGCACACAACGCAGCGCATGCCGTCGCTTCCTGTGCGACTGAAAGGCCCAGAATATAATTGAGCAAGCTCCCACTGCTGCACGACCAGACACCACTCGGGCATGTCCGCTCTCCCTGCGCCTGTGGCCTTAGCCATTGGGACGGGCACATCAACAATGATTGCCCTCACCTCAGAGCAGTTGCGCAACTTTACAACAGGCGTGGCATGGGAAACGACGAACACAACTCGATTGTTGTTGTCTAACCTGACTCGTCTCCCATCCATCTCGTTCGCACCAGCCCCCCAGTAAATAAAACGGACCTCAATCTCATCACGCTCTTCAGCAAATGCCATCAGTGACATCGTCTTGTCGACGATCGCCTTCCCATCCGAGTGCAACCTGGCGTTCTCACGAGCAACTCCGACCTGATCGCGGCCGCGCCCGCAAGCAGCCACTATCGCACCCATCAGCCGACCTGGAAGCGGAGGAGCATCAGCGGGCGGTGGAAGTGGAGGCTCATCGTGGACATCAGGCTCGGGCACAGGCTCTGGGATAGCACCATCATCGCCGACGTCATCATCAGCGATGTCAGCGCCGCCAAAAACGCCAGCGCCAGCATCCTCGTCGGCTTCGGCCGCGGCCTCGGCCTCCTCAATGATGCGAGCGAGGTCTGCGCCCAACTCAAGATCACTGGCACCGTCGCCATCGTCGGGGCCAGCAGGATCGGCAGGATCGGCGGCGTCGACGCCAGCAGGCGCAGGCGCCGCGCAGGGCGGCTTCGGTGGGCGAACGACCTCCAGTGTAAAGGTGGCGACAGGTCCGACATGTACCTCGCACTGGTCTGTTGACGTCCAAGTAGCTGCATGTTGGCGCAGCTGCACCTGCGAAGGCGATGTTGTTTTGCTGGTTTGAACCGGTGTCGGACCACGGGGGCGCCAAAGGATTTCGGACCACGGAAGGGCCCAAGAGGGCCTTAAGGTGCGAAGGTGCTTTTGTTGTTGCTTAGCTTGTTGTTTGACTGTTCTGCCACAGGCTTCAACAACAAAAAAACTCATCATCCCTCTCCCCATCATCCTCCTGAAGTCCTCACCATCCCTCCCACCTCCTCCCTCCTCCTGCTCTTCCTCCTCTTATAGCCTTGGTCGCCCTCGTGGGCGGGTCCTCGCCGAGGACAGGAACCAGGATGGACTTCAGGAGATCGTGAAACCAGCGCGCGCTGAACGGTCTGTGCATCCTGCTCAGCGACACGCCACCGTCTATCACCACGGGCGGGTTCATCTCGAACGCGATGCTGTACCGCTTGAAGGTCCAAGGAATTAGTAAGAACCATTGGCCATCTATGGAGTAGATCTTTTTGGGGCCGATTTCAACCTCGTGGTGCACAGTTGCGTTCAACGACAAGGCCTTGCAAAATTTATCCAGCAATGAGAATTGGTAAGCGCACGCGCGTTCTCCGCCAGCGGGCAGGTCCACGCCACAAGAATAAACAATCCTGGTAAACCTGTAAGACCACTCCACTGATTGCATGACCTGGACGACCTGACCGTGGACCTCACAGCAATCTTCCGCAGACACCTTAATACCATATTTGACCTTCATGCGGTTGTTGGCCGCTGGCATCTGGAGGCCAGGGGCCCTTTTCGCCATAACTTGCAAGCATGACGCGCGACCTCCAATGTCTTGTGTGTCCACGGGGAGTTCTCGGCGCCATACCAGAATATACGCAAACATCCTGGGTGTACATCGTCCGCTGTCTCTCATATGTTCGATATCTCTGTAGAAGTTCGCCTTCAACTTCGAAGCGAAGTCCGATGTGTTCGACTGTAAGCAGCACGGAGGCAAATCGATCAACATTGTTCCAAGTGCTTTACGTTTGTCGTCGGCTTCATCATGAGGGCGCGATACAACATGCAATAGGCATAACGAGAACCGATCAAACGTTGCTACAAATCTCATCCACCAAGTCGACGCACACGTCAGCACACACGTCAGCACCAACAGGAGGCATTGGCCACGAAGTACTGCGTTCCCGTCAGGCACAAGTGAGAGCGCGCTGCCCCATAGTTTCGGATTGTCCATGGATGCTGGGTCTAGCATATCACTGATTGTCTGGTATGTTTCACCGCATTCAACCGTGACGAAGTTCGACAGAGGGGTTGGTCCAAGATAAGTGCTCTCGGCGGCGCATGTCTGGTTGAACGGCTTGATCTGTCTCTGGGCCCAGTACAGGAAACGCGTGATCGGAGCCTTCGACACCCTTGATACGATGAGCATGATATGGAAGACCGTTGAGCTCAACAAAGATAGCGCGTTGGATTTGTACAGCGATTGTTGTTCCTGAAATTGTTGGGTCTCCTCGTCACCAACGCCTGCCTTGTGTTTTTTCTTTGATGGTTTGGCTAGGATGTGGTTGAAAGGCTCTGGCAGGACAGACATCTCACCGGTGAGCAGCTCTTCCACCTGATCGATGGACCCCCACCGACCCCTGAGCACTCGACCAGGCATTTCGTTGCAGCGGGCGGTTTCTTCTGCACTTTCGCCGTGCAGATCCACGATGGCATCTTGCAACTTTCTCATGGTTCCAGTGCTCCTCCACATATTTGAAATCGTTGCAACGGCACTGAAGCATTTCGTGCACAGCGGTTCAGCATCAACCCAGACCCACGAATCCAACACTGCCAGGATCGCCTTCACGCACAAGTGCGAGGCGTGCAAATTGCACCATACCAGTGAACGCTAACCGATCTGATTTAAAAGTGATCCCTGCAATGATTTTCAAATCACCTTGGTTGTCAGGACCCTGAACGAAGCCGAAGTTGAACACCGTGAGTTGCGATTCGTCGCCAGCGTTCAGGGTCTGCTCTAGATCTGCGGCATCACACGACCGAAACCCAAATTTAATGGATTCGTAAAGCTCCTGCGGGCACAGAAAAAAAAACTCCTTCACTCCTTCATCCTCCTGCTCTCCTTCCCTACCCCCTTCTACTCTCCGAGTCTCTCCTGCATCCTACCCCTCCTCTCACGTTCCCCTGCTCCGTCTCCCCGTCTCCTACTCTCCCTTTCCCTCTGCCACTACTCCACTACTCCTACGATCCTTCTCAATCCTCCCTCCTATCTCTCCTTTCCTCCCGTTCTCTCCTCCAACTCTCAGTATTTACATGCGCGCCGCTGTCCTGGGCGTCGCCACGCCGCGAGAACTGGAGGTCGCAATCAGTCGCCGACACCGCCAGCCTGGGCGCCTAGGAAAGGTTGGCGCCCGAGCCCGACGAGACCTGGACCTCAGCAGATGCGACTCGAGCGGGCCCCAAAGCACAAGACTGGAGCGATGATCTGAACACCTCCTTTTTTTCGAGAGCCTCTGAATGCGTCGCATCCCCTTTAAACAAGAAAGTCTGCACCTTGTGAGCGGCTTGAGTCGGCGAGTCTGGAACCTCACACACATAAGAATACATATCGTCGCAATCGTTCTTGGACACAACGTATTGGGCAGCATTGACTCTATGCTCGAACCGAGTCGCAATCTGTTTGTCAAGAAATGCACCATGAATGTCATCACCATGAAGGAGAAGAAGGAGAAGAAGGGAAAAGTACCATGTTTTGGGCTCGC